GAGCCGTTTTTGTGATTTTGTTTTAGAGTGAATCTCTTCAGCATCATCTAGACTCATCCAAACCAGTGATACAGCCCTCTATCCGCATATTCACTGGCTCATGGAGCCACACCTGAATCCTGGGTCTATTTTGTAAATATCTGAAGATGAGGTTGATGGGCTGCACCATCACCTTCTGCACTTTCTGGCCCTGGCCACGGCACAACATGGCAGAATCTCACAAAGACCACCCATTTTTACAAGTTTTGTGGATTTATTCAACTCAGTTTTTTTCTACTCACAGTCAATTGTTACAGATCTTAGCAGATTCCACTTCAGGTGATACTGGATTACTATTTTCTCAACTTCTTTGAAAACATCCTTGCCTGTACTTGTTTTACATAGACTATTTATAGAGGCTAATTCTTCAGCTACTTCAAACTTGGTACTGATCATCTAATAAGTATCAATAACTGATCCGTATCGGTAACTTCAAGAGCCAAGGAAAACTACTCAAAACCACTGCCTTGTTCTTTAATGGCTACTGATGCTGCTTCCAAAGTCCAGGTCAACAACTTTTCTCTGGACACATTTCTTCCATGGATACAGTCAAATCCAATTTAGTTAATGCTCCATTGGCAAATGGCTTTCTGTATAGCACATGCGCTTTGGTTATAACCTCATTTTACTTTTTAAAATCTGTAAATAAATTCTGCTTTGATAAGATACTCTGCTTTAAGTTTTCTTGTTTTTCATTACTTGCCCATGAGTTGGGAATACTGTGATATGTACTTAATCTCAGTGCTTCATTTTGCGGTCATGTTCTGGGCAAGAGGTCCAGCTGCATGTGCCAAAGGTTACACAGCTGGTGACAGAAAGAGTCTATGGTCCCACTGCTCCATCACACAGCTTCCCTCAGTGGTAACAATAAACCAGTGCCTCTATTTCATTCCTAATAGAGAATAATCTGCACCTAGTTCGGGGCTTCTGATGATCATTAGGATCAAGTCAGCACATAAATGAAATGCAATCATTCTTATCCCTCCCTAATAATTATATCTGTATGCCCTGGGTTCTGAAGCCCAACTAAAAATTAAATTATAGGCAAATTTCTTACTAGACAACAGTGAGAGGAGGTGAAAATGCTCTGTCAAGTATTAGAAGAACATCTGACCTGTCCCAAAGGTAAAAGCTAAAGAGCAACCTAGCAACAAACGAACGGGTGGGAGGTGGGAGTCTGAGGCTAATACAAGGGCAATGCCAGGGGCAGGACACAGACATGAAGTCTGCATCAGATCTACCTGACAAAAAGAAGGTAAACGTGAAAGAAAATAACAAAGGTAGCAGCTATGAGACCACGCTATTTCAGGTGTTTAGACGGCATTATTACCAGAGTCATTTAGTCAAAAGTTAGTTTTCAGGGTAAGGTGGAAAGGGAGACTTCTACCAAGGACACAGCTTCAAAACCTAAAACAGAATTTCATTGAACTTAAAGTTTCTTATTTTCCCTAAATTTAACTATACATAGTTTTCATAATAGATAACTTTCTCTAGGTTGGTAAAAATTTAAACAAATGATAGATAAAGACTATAAACAGATGCTACTCTACCATGGGGGGGTGGGGGAGGTGGGGAGGATCAAACTTAGAACCTCTCCTTCCTAAGGGTGAAAGTGATGAAAATATGATTTTTCCAATGCATTTGAAACTCTCCAGGAAATCGTTTTAAAAGACTTCCCGGGTCAGAGAATTCTTTAATTTTCCCAAGTTATTTGATAAGAGCTTAGTATTTGAAAGTAATCAGTGTTTACGATCTACCCACTCATTAAGAAAAACTACAGAGTTACTGAACATACTTAGGAAAACAACATATAAGGTAAAAAGTATTCATCTAAGTAATGAATGCTCCATAGCTAAAAGAAATGACCTAACTTGGCCAGATGCAGTAGCTCACGCCTGTAATCCCGGCACTCTGGGGGGCTGAGACAGGTGGAGTGCTTGAGCTCACAGGTTCGAGACCAGCTTGAGCCAGAGTGAAACCCTATCTCTAAAAATAGCTAGGCTTTGTGGCAGGCACCTATAGTCCCAGCTGGTAGGAGGCTGAGGCAAGAGAATCGCTTACACCCAAGAGTTTGAGGTTGCTGTGAGCTATGATGCTACAGCACTATACCAAGGACAACAAAGTGGGATTTTGTCTCAAAAAAAAAAGAAAGAAAGAAAAAGAAATGACCTAACTTGTCCAGCTTTTTCAAATATTTGAGTCCTGCAGAATTAATAAGAACTTCAATGAAATCTATGCCTCTAGGGTGGTGCCTGTGGCTCAAAAGGGTAGGACGCTGGCCCCATAAGCCGGAGGTGGCAGGTTCAAACCCAGCCCCGGCAGGGGGGAAAAAAAAAGAAAAAGAAAACACTGGAAATCTATGCCTCTAATAACGTATAAAAAAGTTCAGAAAGCCTTGTATTATTCAAATACTCAGATAAAGCCAATAGAAGATAATTTAAAATTATATAGCTCACACTAGTTTTCATTCCTATCAGAAAAGCTGAAAAACTCTAAAACAGAGTATAATTCTTTAATTCATTAACAACTATTTTCTAAATAAGATTTGTTTCCAGGTTCGGCGCCTGTGGCTCAAGCAGCTAAGGCGCCAGCCACATACACCTAAGGTGGCGGGTTCGAATCCCCAGCCCAGGCCCGCCAAACAACAATGATCGCT